GCGTCTTCGGTCGCAACTCTTGCCGATCGGGCTGCACATTGTTACGAGCGTAGCGCTGCTCTAATTTTACACTCGAATCATGTTGCGGTTGCTGGAGTAGTAGGTGCTGCTTGTGTTGCTGAGCTATTCGTGAAGCGACCTTACTGATGCCAGCCAGACGTACCGAGTTCTTCCCGTACTCCATGTACTCGTCGCCGTACTTCACCACGGTATTTACTTTAGTGTACGTCTCTTCCGGTTGATGGCTCGCGTACGAGTGAATGTTGACTTGCTGATTATTAGAATTCTGATTGCAATGTGGTAGGTTGTAGTCGACCGATGTAACCGCCTCCATGTTTATCTGTAACAGCAATCATTGTGCACAGTCAGTTTTTCATGTACAGTTCACAACTGCAATTTTAAAAACTAAAATCAACAAAAGAATCATACGACTACGAAACACAAAGATGCTCTTGATAAATCATTTATCGCATATTATATCATCCTGTTAACTCAAATTTCAAATTGATTCAGTTGAATAATAATATCCATTCAATTAGTTAATTGAATGGATATTATGAAAATAGCCAAGCTAAACAGTACTTGAACTATTGATGATCGAGAATCTTTGTTTGAAACATTGTTATCAATCAATGGCCATTATCAGCGGTTGCTTGTTCCATGAAAAAGGGATCTGAAATTGATAAGGCTTTACAAACTGTGTGTGTTTGTTTCATCTGTGGATCATTCTCACACCCTGAACTTTTGTAACATTCTCTTTTTGTGCAGCTATATGGTTTGCCAAATACAGTATTTTTTATGTCTACAAAGGAGAGGGGAAATATAGACCCGGTGGGTAATATGAATCACCTATTTTCTATGAAGGTAAGTGCTTCGGGTCTCAAAGTTTTTTATTATGTTTCGGTCTTTTTCCTCCATTTACTCAGTCAATGACAAACACAATGCCACCTTCAAGATTATTTTCATTGATATGGACCTTTTCCTTCAGTAAAAAAATTTTGTTACATTCAGTTACGCCATATTTCTTTGCTTTCACGCGGGCAATTCAAAATGGCGACAACGTGCAGACCGCATATGGGCAAATTCCCAAAAAAAATTTTAGATCACTATACCTTACCTGCATTGAAAATGTAGAGCTTTAAAATCTTTTTATTAATAATTAACTATTTATTACTTGTTCATTGCATAAAGCACAAGTCTAGAGTGTATTACGTACCTACAAGATGCCTGTCAGAAGTTACAAGAGAATGCAGGCCAAAAATTTCAAAAATATTGATGTTTTCAAAGCATCCTTTTAACAAATAAAAAATTGTTTTATATTCATAACTTTTTTAATATTTTAGATATATCTCATCCGTGATTTTTTCCAGTCTTCCTAACACTTTTCCTGATATAATGGCACTAGGAATTATGGTATGTTCATTATGGTTCCCAAATAACATATTTTTAAAATAGCATCGAACGAATTGTTTGCTCTTTTGAAATTTATTATATACTCATTAAAAAAATAATATTTAAAAAAATAATTATAAACAATTTCTTCCTTTCAACTTAATAACCTAAGATATTTTTCGCGAATCCATGTGCTCTATAATATAAAAAGGTTATACTTGAATACTCTTATGTGTTGCGACCGTCACTGGTAAAAATTGTGAGTATTTTCAAAGACCCCGATCTATACAGAGATTAGATAGGTCTAGATAATAACGTAATCACAAGTTTACACTGCTTTGAGCAAGTTTTGAAAAGACTCCTTCCAAATTATACTTAAAAGATTAGAAAAGATAATTTTAAAAAATCAAAAAATTAAATTATATGATAATAGCACAAACAAAATAGAATATTTCGAGACCAGATTGATTTTCTTACATGTTTTCAAAGTCGTTTAATGAGAATATAATGCAAAGAAATTCGTTATAAATGTAGAAAATTATTGATATTACAAAAATAGATATTACAGAAATAGATACAATAATAGCTAATTTAAAGTTAAAACCAGCTCCTAATACCATATAAGTTCACAATATAATTTATACGAAAGAATATAAGGAAACTTTATACTTGAATTATTTGTCATGCTCTTACTGTATCTATAATAGGTTGTAGTATCCCTAATATTCACACTTCTATTTATCTACAAAAAAATAAGCAAAATAATAAAGAGACTGCTAAAAATAAAGAACAAAATTCAATTTTCAGAGAAAAAAAGCAACTACAACTAAAACACAAAATCCAAACAAAACAATCCAATTTTGGAAAACAATAATTAAAAAAAAAGGTTTAGTTAGTAAAAGCACACCAGCTTTAGGTCTCATCGACCTCATCAAATATGTACAATAAAAGTTTATAAAAACCTATTTACAACTTATTATTTGGTGCCTTATCAATTCCCCTCTCCACAAAAAAATTTTTTTTTAATTTTTCAGATGATTTTTTAAATATTTTCAAAAAATGAGTCACGCTTGATTTTTCATGGTTTTTAAGTGATAACAAACCGACAAATATATCTGTTAAATGTGCTTTATTAAAAAAAATTTTTACACCTAAAACTAGAATAACATTTTGTGCAGATTTGCCCAAATAACTTTTTTTTGCAAAAAATTGTGAAATACTTTTTTTTTATTTGAGTTTTAAAGTTACATCTACCTGTGTAGGTTATTAGTGACTACAATGAAATATTTATTTTGCATAAATTAACATTAATTTTTACTATTGAATGTTCATGATCGATGCACGGATTACGATAACATTAGGTGCATTTGTGACTTACTACTATCTTTTGATTGAATAATTTGATGTAGGATTTTTATTACTTAGAATAGCTATATGATGTGTAAATAATATAAATGAATATATGTTTCGTTTTACATACTTTTTGTTTGAAATAATATTATGATCTGTTAATCAAATACAAAATTTTATGATTGGTTCTCTGGAAATTATCAATATATATATATATATATATATATATATATATATATATATATATATATATGTATATATTTGAGTAAAATTAGTATAGTATTGTACTTTTATAAGAAATAATGATGATATTCTAGTGTTTTTAGGCTTTTCACATAATAAATAAAATAAGTGTTTTACCACAACCTTTTTTAAAAACGCTTTTTCGGATTTTTTTGTCAAATAAAAATTTTCGGCAAAATGTTGAAAATAATACAATTTGAAATAAAATAAAAAAATGTTTTAAAACAAAAAGTATCATAAGGTTTTGTAGATAAAAGACTGATGAATACTACAGTCTATTTCTAAATTTTTTGAAAGCATTTCCTAATTTTCCGACTTACTAAAAGTCTATATATGGTCCATATTCCCCCGGCTCCTCTCTATGGCTTTGTGTACTTGTAAGCCGACTGTCAACTCTTTGCTAATGTTAATCAACGCATTTTCATCTAACATTTAACATTAATTATTATAATGTGACGACAGACTCCAAAACTGTCTAGATGCCTAATGTAGTAGACGCCGGTTTTGTTGCAAATAAATCAAAGGCAACGAGATTGTCAAAGTAGAACTGACAATATGGAAGAGAAAAAAGAATAAGAACATTGCAACTAAATGAAAATCAAAGTAAAAAGGGCATAGAGCACAAGGTTAAACATGAAACGGAGGGTGTGCGAATGCGGTAAAAGAACGGAGCAATCTCTTACAGTTGAGTTTGTCCCTTTTGAGTAACGCCCTCGATCACTCCGAATAATCATCGCGTGTGCTTGTCACCAACGGCTCCCGCGCATCATCGCCTCTCGCCTGCGATGAATCCTAACATACCTTTTCTCTTCACTCCCATCCTGTCGCTCACACACACACACACACACGTGCGCGCGCGCCTTTTATTCGTCTGCTGTTCAAGCGAAGAGTATGCACGCATAAGAAGTATTGACAAATAGCACGCACTCTTCAACTCTTTTCAATCTTTTTTTAAAGGGACAACTTGTCATGAAAAAACTCGATATTTCAATATCTATAAGTCTTATTGGATGCAACTTTGAACACCATCGAGATAAAGAATCAAGTAGAAATTCTCATTCATATGCATCTCACAAATACCCATGCAATGAACAAATACGAGGTTTGTCTGGAAATATCCGGTCCACCTTTATATCTTCACGCTGACGTTATACTTTATCATCGAGAGAGTGGTATCCTTCAAAATAATCCCTACTTGATTGAATAACACGGTTCCAGCGATGTTTTCACTTTTTGAAGCAATCATGGAATTCACTTTTAGAGATGATCTTGAGCACGTTCGTCGCATTATTTTCAATCGACGTTTTGTCATAGAAATGCAGTCCTTTAAGTGGTTTTATGAGTTTTGAAAACAGCCAAAAGTCACAGGGGGCTATGTCGAGACTGGACGGAGGTTGTTAGAGCAATACAATACTCTGTTTACAAGGTCAAACTTCCGACAAAATTGGTAAAGATCTACGAAGGAATGTTTTAAACAACGAACAGCCTTATATAACCATGTTTCAGATTTGATCTTGGGATTTCCTCATAATTTATCTTAGTAATTATCGAAAAGAAAATACAAGTGTTAATAATTATGTTAGTAAAGAGCTATATTTATGATTATTAAATTTTTTAAATTTAATCTATTAATATTTTACAAACGTAAAATTTTTTTTATTGTCAAAATATTTTATAACATCAATTAAATGAGCAATTAATAATTATTAATCGTATTTAATTTTATTAACTTAAATATGAAAAACAAAAATGTGGTTGACTGTTTAAATCCTAGTAACTTAAACAAAACATTACAAAGCCGTCGATTAATGAAAAGGTTATACTTGTTCAATTTGTTTTTCTTTTTTAGCTTGCTGGACTGTTTACATCGCTAGCTAGCCGGTGGGCAAATTGCTTTTCTTTTATACGCTTAGTAAGCACCTCCGACAGCGCCTCCTCGCGGCCGTGTCTGTCAAAAGTTGGGTATAGGAAGATTGCACAGCTGACTCAGCGTGTTGTAAATACAGAAAGCCAAAATGGAGTTACAAAGTAAAAATAGTTTTGTTGATAATAATCGGTCAATGAGAATATGTTGTGTAGTTGGATGTAGCAATTCGGAAAAAAAAAATCCAGAATTGAGTTTCTATTCTTTTCCTGGACGTAATTATGAAGTTGAGAGGAAACAAAAATGGATAGCTGCCGTAAGGCGTTTAAGGTAAGTAATGTTTGATAAATCCATTTGCTATTTGTGTTTCGAATATTAAAATTGAAAAGTTATGTTAATGACGGCTTGCTGATACATAATGTTGGATTAAATCAAATGTTCAATTTGTAACTTAATGCTTACAGCGAAGGAAATAAACTGTGGCAACCGACAGCCAATTCTCGAATATGCAGTGCGCATTTTGACGGAGGCTGTAAGTCAGATGATCCTAGAAAAGTCAGTTACATTCCTACAATTTTTCCTGAAAAATATCGTTCAAAAAATAAGTATGATCATGCGAGAGCTGAAAGATTGCAGAAACGAAACGAACAAAAATCAAGAGAAGAATGTGAAATCATTACATTTCAAAATTCCAATTATGGTAATTAAATTCATTTTACGGTTCATGTACATATTCCATTATATTATAATTCATGTACATACAAACAAGATAAAAAATTATTTTTTATAATTGCAGATGATTCAACATTCAATCTAACCCAAAATGATTCATCGACCTTGGTAGAAACTTTTGACATTTGTATACAAACTGACATAACTTTGGATATTCCACAAAATATTAATATCATTCACTTATTTTGTTCCTCTGATGGTAACGATAAAAGTACACAAACAGATATACAGTTGACTAGCTACCGTACAATCAAAGAGAAGGTAGTTGTAGAAGATCAGGAAATACAAGAAGAGATAAGTAAATTGAATAAAAACTACAAAAGTGTAGCTTGTGGATCAGATTTAGAGATGAGGGATTATTTCACAGGATTTGCTGGTATCACAAGTGAGCAAGATTTAAAAATTTTGACTGGAATAAAATTCGACGTCTTTAATCATCTGTTAAAGTTTATAATACCTGGAAAGGATGGGCAACCACAGTTCTTTAGAACACTATCTACAGAAGATCGTTTGTTATTATTTCTGATGAAATTAAAACTAGGAATAAGCTTTTCTGCAATCGGATTACTTTTTGGAGTGAGCAGACAAACAGTTTCAAATATATTTTTTAGCATACTGGAGACTGTCTATAAAAATGTAAAAAAATGGATATTTTGGCCATCTAAGGAAGCTGTAAAACAGACTATGCCAGATACCTTTGTCAACTATCCCGATTGCAGAGTGATAATTGATTGCACTGAAGTTTATACTGATACACCTTAAAGGGTCGACGAAAGAATACACATGTTTTCTCAATATAAAGGTGGTTATACAGCAAAATTTTTGTTGGGCATAAGTCCATCTGGGATGATAACCTTCTTATCACGATCGTACGCTGGACGTTCCACTGACTCATTCATAGTCAACGATTCTGGTTTTCTAAATTACATTGAGCCAGGTGATCAAATTTTAGCAGATAAAGGTTTTCCGCAGATAAAAGCAGAGGCTCTACAACGTAATTGCACAGTAGTAATTCCACCCTTTGCATTTAATCCTCAATTCACTAAAGAAGAAGTGTTAGAACAATATTCAATCGCCTCAGTAAGAACACATTGAGAGGGCGATACAGCGAGTAAAAATTTTCAAGATACTGCAACATCTCAACACTGAATTGTTTGAAACAATAGATGAGATCATGTACGTTATTTGTGCACTGGCTAATCATAAAGAGCCATTAATTAAAAAAAATGAATAACTATAATATGCGTGATGAATATGTATTGTTTTTAATCATTTCAATTGATATTTTGTTTTTTATGAATGCCTACAATAAAATATTCATAAAAAAATTTTTCTATTTTTGGAATGACATCTGCTAAAAAAATTTCATCACGTTTAATTAACAAGTGAACATAGTCTTTCGGTGAGTAGACAAAAAGATGACATAAGTTCATCTTTAATATATATAGCGATACTTGAATTTGAGTATAATAACAATGCACAGGATTCAGTGTCAGTTCGCCTCCTTCATCAAATCTTAGATATAGTACGAAACTAATTTTCTTGTCTAGATCAACAATCAAAGAATCCTTACAAGTACTTGGGCATTTTATCTCTATAAGTTCTAGAGTACCATCCACTTTATTGGTGATTATACCATCTGGGCTACAAGCCAAATATGGCTGTGCTATTGAAATAACTAAGCCAATTTCAATAACTTTCACACTTGTCAAATTTTCAAAGCATAATCTGGCAGAATGCTCCATCTTGAGACCATACAACATATCTGGCGTGACTCTTCCTTTGTATTTTTCTTTGAGAAATCTCTCAACCAAAGTTTCAAAGTTATCCTGCCTAGTTTTTATACTATGAGCTTTGCTGCTACACGTTATTCGAAAATATCTTTCTCTGTACCAAGTTGCTGATTCTGATTGCCCTGCTGATTGTAAACAAATTTCTGTCCATTTATTCTTGTCAATTTTTATTAAGTCAAATTCAGCATTGTATATAGGCAAACAACTCATCTTTGCAAACGTCAACTTTAAAGAGTCTTGATTAGATTGCTTAACAGTATATGCATAATAATTTTCTTTTTCGTTTTCTACTTGCAAGCAATAAAGTTTTTCAAGAAGATTCAGTAATTTCGCTTGTGTGTCTTTCGTTTTTTTTTCACGTTCAAGCCTTTCTGACTCATGTTTTTTTTCAGCTAAAATCATCTCTGTAAATGGACATTCTATTTTTAAATGCTCATTCGCAATATCTGGCATTTCTCTAGAAAACTCAAACTTTGGATATACAGCGCCCGGTTCGCCAAATAATGATTTCAAAGTGCATCCTTTGCTATACTTCTCTAATTGACTTTCAGGTACTACTGGCATATTCCATAACATAGGAGCGCTCGTTTTTGAAAGAGCTTTTTCTTTATTTACAACTGCACAAACGGCAGCAGCATGTTTGCATAAAAGCAAACCTCCCTTGCAATTGCATGCTGCACTAATAATTGTTCTATTTTCTTTAAGCTGCAAATTTAAATAATTTACGTGTTTACCAAATTGATATAAATCAACCGTACTTTACTGTAAAGAAAATGCATCACGTGTTTTTTATAACCTATAAAAATGATACTTGTTATTACCGAAATTGAAACTTTATAAAAATTTGTATCAGTTTTGGTGCTTTTTACACCTGGTGTTTCTCGCAACACCGTTCCTTTTAGAGTACGAGACCCGTCATCTCTCAGTTCTTCAAATACATCGGATACATGATTACTTTCTGCAAGTTTATTTCCCTTAGAAATACTTTTTTTCCTAAAAACACTAGTTTCTACTTTTTGGAAACCCGTTTTCAATATGACTACCATTATCTCTTCCTTTTTATTTGACAAAATATAAAAAAAAATAGTTTAAAATACGTTAGTTCTATACAGTCTGGCATATGGGAAGCGTGTGCTGTATACCCAACTATTGAAATATTTTTCCATCAGGGGGCGCTTGCGTTTCGCGCCGGAGATGCTTACTAAGCGTATAAAATTTCATTCTGGGAGAAACAGAGAGAGAGAGAGAGAGAGAGAGAGAGAGAGAGAGAATTTGGTTTTATCGCTGGCATCGAGAGAAAGACAATGAATTTGAGATATCGGTATTTCAATAATTTCACCTATTAATTGTTTGACGAAAAAAATAAATTCTTGAGTATACTCATTGCACACATATTCACTGCATTGACTTTTATCATGTTCGATATCAAAATAAAATGTTGCAGTATTTTGTATAACCTACAAACAATATTAGTTTTTAAGATATTTGTGTATTACGCAATTATAATTTACATTATTATTTATACAAACCTCATAGAAATGTCGTTGATTCATTGTCATGTATTCTTCAATAAATCTCTCTCGATTGATCACCCAGAAATTTCTTGATCCACTGACTGCAAACTCATTGCTTACAATAATAGTTATCTGTTGTTCAGAGCTCGATAAACGGTTCAAATATTGAATCGCCTCATTTAATTTCGAAAAAATTTTTTTAGTAGCCATAGTTCATTGAAGAAACGTAAACGTAAAATTATTATCAAGCGGACTAATTTAATGTATGATGTAATGTACGTATATGCAAACACCGTATGCTTAATGTGTGTCATAGTTGATGCCAATGATAATAAATGCTTATAGAAGTTCAACTCTTATTCCTAGACCGAAACCTTTATTATTCTTGAATATCAGTCTCAGCTTTAATTATGAATGTATTAGATGCAGTGGTCTCAGACCAATTCCTAAAAATATTTGGAATAGTGGTCTGTACAATAACGCAAATTTTTTATTAACGAGCTTGCCTGTCACGCATTTGGTTCAATTGCACTGAAATGTAAGTTCGTAATACTGCAACATCGATACTATTTATATGGTATGTATTGCGCAGTTGTTGATCAGTAACTGTTAAAATTTGGACATTCAAAAATTGTGAAATTATAGCTTGATCACGTTGAATAGTCCGTCGCTGAAACGAATGTCCATTAATAGTACAATGATTAACGTAATTAATTAAAACAATAAAAAATATATTTACCAATAATTGACATACGAAATCGAAGTGATTACTGAGAACGGCATGATGCTTAAATAAATCAACGAATATTAAACTTTGAAGAATGAATTTCTTCTCATTATTGGTAACACGACCAATCACTAAACGTCCATTGTAGTAATCATTGATGTTGCTAACCAACACAACATTTTCTATTAAAAATTGATCGAATTTAACAGTTAAAAATTGATGTAGTGAATTGACATAATAATTTTGTGCGTGGTTGTTGTTAGAACGTGTACGTTCGTACAATATTAAAAGTCTATCTGTATTATGATCTAGTTCAATATTTTCCAGTACATTATTCAACATCATAGTGAATAATTATCCGCAATGTCGTATGCTGGAGTATCATCAAGTTCATTATTGTAATAACGAACGTACGGCCTACCGTTCTGTACATTGTTGATATGATCTAACAATTGATGACACCCCAGTGTCGCGATGAATGTACCTGTTCGTGGAACTTCATTGTCGACAGTTTCATCAACAACAACCGCAGAAATTTTTTAATAATAGACTACAGCGTTCAGTATCAAATTCAGAATATTACTTTTAATGTCATCGGTAACAAAGTCAATCTGATCTTCAATCAATGTTGGCATATCATCAGTTGTAACAATATTTTCCCACTTCTTCAGTATTCGATTAGTAACGAAAATGCTGCGAAAGAATGTATACGGCCTCCGTAAAATTACTGATAAATTTTTACTGATTATTTTTAATTGTCTCTTTACTATAAAAGTCATGTACGTTTTTAAGTCCATATTATACAAATACTGCTGCTTTTCAAAAACAATAATGCCACCAGCGTTGATATTATATAACAATATTATATAACGGCAGAAAATTCCTCCTATCGCACGGTGGGTTTTAAAATATTTTAATTTTTTTGAATACCACCCCGGAAATTTTTATGAATATCTATTGCAGGAGGTTTATAGAACTAGGAAAAACCAACCCCGAAATCGTAGAACCTCAACTTTTCGTTTTATTCACATTGGAAATTTTTTTTTACTCTTTTGGCATTATAATCATTTTGGAAATGTTAAACTAGAAAAAAATTAAATTAAAATTGCTCATCTTTTAAACTATATTATATTTATTACAAATATATACATATATGGATCAAAATAATTTTTTTTTCAATAATGACATAATTTATCAATGCATTTTTTAATTTAAATATGGCTGCTGTTATATTCACAAACTGCTCTTAATAGATTTTGTGAATATTCAGGATGTGATTTATTAAGTTTATATTTACACCATGTCTTCTTGAAATCTGCATGGACTGATTCCATAGCTTGTTCACTATAAAATCCAAGTCCTCTTTTATACTTAGAACAAAAATATGGTACATGTTCAATAACTGCATGCACTTTAGGAGTGATACTAATCTCCAAAACTGCGTAGCTCTTCTTAAAATTATTTATGTACACTTTGAATTGAGGGTCCAGTTTATTTGAGAAGCAAGAATCAACTACATGACAGAAGTCTTGAAAACATTGAACATATTTCATACATCTTCCTACATATTTTTCAGAGATTCTTCGTAAAATGTCAACACTTTTTAGTAATTTTCTGCAAGAGTTGCCATTGAAAGAAGGTTTTCATAGTATACTTTTCGATCTACATGACATTCTGTAACCCATGCTTGACTTTCATTTTCGAATTCTGATGCCATGCTTTCATACA